GTACAAGAGCCAAACGGTGTTATATTTCAGAAGCAGTGGGACCTGAAATGACAGTTTAGAAAGTCCTTCAGGCGCGAGTGTTAACTTTAAACATTGCAGGATCCCAGTCCACCGTGGCATGATCGTTTGAAGCGAGTTCGTGGCCGATTCAGTGTGGAAACGCGAAAACTGGAAAAACAGTTAAGTGAGCTCACCGATGAAGATGACTGGCTAAAAGATCTTTTGAAGGACGAAGTAAGCTTTTCTTTATTACGAGACCATAGTAACCACTTATCGAAATGAGTTTCACTTTGATATTTGGGTCAAGTGCAGCTTAGAAGTTCCGTTTTGCAGTTATAAATCTGATTTCTTCAATCACTCTGACCAGTACCATATTGCCCAGTGGTTAGCTGATTGCCGTCCCCAATGGTTTGGTTCATCTCTTGAAGGGATTATCGAAACATTTCTTACTATTATAATAGTTTTAACAAAATAATTTTACTACTTTCACTAATTTCTTAATATTATTTTCTCCTCTATTCTTCTTTCGACTTCAAAATACCTTTTCACTACGAATTTAGCCCCGACAGAAAACACATGATAAAGCTTTAGCCATTTTCCCGACGTCCTTGATGTTTGTAGAGCGTCAGTAGCATCCCTGGAGTTTGTCGCTCCTGGACCACAGTGAGGAGCTCCTAAGCTTTATCGACTAAGAGGCGATTACTGATAATGTAATAAATGCGTCGGGTTTTTTAGCTTGAAAAACGGAAGCGAAGGCAAGAAATATTTGAGGAAGTTGCTGCCGGCCACTGGCAAATGTGGAAAATTTTGCCAAGTGGGCAAGAATTTGTTACTGGGTAAGTACATGAATTGTTACAGCTTGCATGTTGCATGTTTTCGGCTGATTTTGCCAAAACCGCACGCATGCTGGCCTGAAATAGCAGGGGGAGGCTCCGTGCGCGTCGGTTAGCCGCCAGAGTGGTTTTGCATGCTTTTTTTTTCGTATAATTTCCAAAATCCAAATGAAATAGCGGTGTGCACTTCATCACAGTGATATTTTTGAAATTCTCCTACTAGCGGAACGCTGTTACGTCGAATTGGTTTGATCCTAGGCTGTATACTTCGAGCTAATACCCATATTTGTTCTATGTTTGTGCGCCTTTCTGAAGACCATCTGAGCCACTGTTTGTGTCTTCGAAAGTACCAGTTACTGATATGAGGATTCTACTGATTGTCGAGAAGGTTTGGATACATTGGCAGTCTTCTGGACGCGGG